TTCTGTGATTCTATATAGCTCTTGCCGCATATATTATATCGGAAAATGTAAGAATGTTCACATTAAATTTACTGGGTTTTAATAGCAAACAGCTAAAAATAAAAAAAACCCACTTTTTATAATTACATTTGGGTCCAAAGCTGAGACAGAATTTAGTTCACAAGGTGCGTAGGAGTTGCCTTTTGTTTGGACTGTTCAGTTCAGTAGCATCGAACATATCAATGAACAATCTTACCCATAACAGAAAATTTCATTTTTTAAATTAAGAGTCTCGAATGATAAAATACATAATCGCTCAGTAATATTGACCTCTTGAATGTTGTCTTCTATTGTACAGAAGACCCTTTTGAGGACTTCTTTGGGGGCAGGCGAGGTCCAAGAGGAAGCAGAAACAGAGGTGGTGGATCATTTTTCTCTGCCTTCAGTGGATTTCCTGCTTTTGGAAGTGGTTTTTCTTCATTTGACACAGGTAAATATCACATCATCTAGCAGAGAATGCAGTTTTGGTTCATAAAAGGTCTCAGTATAATAACCTGATAAATACTTTTTAAAAAGTTGCCTTCGTTCAAGAAATTCTGAGGCCACTTTTTTAAAGTTAAGCATGCTTTTTAGTGGTGGAAGGTATGATGGCTTTTATTTAAGGTCCTGAAAATACACTGGAAAAATGTATGCGGAACACCCACGGTATCACCAGTCCTGGGGCATTTGAATGCTGGTGTCTCACTCTCAGAAGTTGCTGAGAGTGGCTGATGGTTGGCATCCTTTGAAGTGGTAGGTTTTGGGTGTTAGTTGAGATGTTAGTGATACAAAACTTGTTCTGTTTGCTAACTCAGGGCATCCCAACATCTACATTACAGCAAAAAATCAGTTTCATTATAGTTACTAGCTTTACCTTGAGTGGGAATAGTGATATAGCGGTTGAGTTCATTAGACAGGTTTGAATGCCTTTTCTTCAGGGGAGGACACGATGCACAGTTTTGGGACAATGCTTTGCGCTTGGAATTTGAACTGTGAGTCCATACAGGAAAAATTGATGGGGCTGGAGCCATGTTTTTCTTCTCAGACTAGTACTGAATGCCATCTGGTCGCTGATGCTGTGTTGATGCAACCAACTAAGGGCATTCCGAAACTAGGATATAGCTGATGAGTGGGTGAAAAACTTGCATCCTGTGGTCATGCAAAAAAAAAATTCATTTTTAGTCAAATTCTCTTTCCCAACAGGTTTTACTTCATTTGGTTCACTGGGACACGGAGGTCTTACTTCGTTCTCCTCTACGTCGTTTGGCGGCAGTGGGATGGGTAACTTCAAATCAGTATCAACCTCAACTAAAATAGTTAATGGCAGAAAAATTACTACAAAGAGGTAAGTTATTATATAAATATGTTTGTATGAAACTCTACGTAGAGACATACATAGCTATAAATACATGTATATAAATATATACGTGCATAAAAGTAGTGGTGCATGTGTGTACATGTATTTTTACTTCTGCTGTTGTGGTTGTCACATTACGTGGATTTCTCTGAATGCTTACAAAAAATTCGGGAAGTTTTACTGGGTTCTCTGGCTCTTCTTGGCATTGTTAAGTTACTTAAAGCTGTAGTGTGTGAAAGTGAGGAAGATGGTGTTTTTGTGTAAACTCTTGATATTTGAGGAGGCTTCAGATGTGTAAGACGTGCTTTTGGAATGGCTCTGATGAAAAGTGGAGGTTGCAGGTTGGTTGTTGTTTGCAAGGGACCTGGCAAATGCAACTCTTCCAGGCCTTCAGAACGTCCTGTGCAGTGATGCACCTTTTGGTCTGGTTCTTGACTTCTGTCTGCCAAGTCAGCTTGAGTTTCTGGAAGGAAAAAGTGGTTTCTGTTGGTTGTGGTGCTTGTAACTGAGGATTGGGAGGACTTTTAATTCTGCAGACAACATGAAACATGAAAGAGTTTTCCCTGATGTCTGCTCTAGTTTGCTTTCCTTGGCAGCGTTTGAATGAAGTTTTTGTGTAAAAAGTAATTTTCTTTTATCTGTTAAGTGAAATAAGCAACTGAATCCTGCTTTGGAGAAAACTTCTGTTTGTTGGAATTTCAAGTACCATACACAGTGTACCTTCTTATTATTTTACACTTGTGATGGGGAAATCCCTGCATTTGGGAACCTCAGATGTTAGCTAGCTATAGAGTAACCTACGTGGAATATGATCAATGAGTTTTAGGAATATTGAAGAAGTAGTTAAATGTACTTTCAGTACTTAATAAAAATTTACAGAAGAACAAGGGAGAAGCAATTTATTTGTTTGGTAACTTGTGTCCCATACTTCAAAGTACAAGGTTCTTCTGTGTCCAGTTGTACTGGAGATATCCTGCCATCTCGACCACTTAAATGCAGCCTCTGTCTTCACATACTGGTGTGGTTGTGGTATTTTTCTGTGAGTGTAATCCAGAAACATCTGAAAACTGCCCACTTTTGAGGGAATTGTGCCAGATGAGAGAAACCAAAGAAAGGTTTTGTGTAAAAAAAGATAAGACACCATGTTTGTAGCAATTTCTTAAAAAATAGGCTTGATCAGGTATGCTGCTGTGATATCTTTTTGCTACCATATTTAGAAAGGGGAGTGGGAGGCAAGAAATGTGGTTAACCAGGTCTGGGAAGACACATTTACTGTCTTGGAGAAGTGCTGTTTGTAGAATGTCTGCCCCCCGGGTAGTTAAGTCTCAAGAAGATTCATATCCCAGCATACCCAGTGAAAATCTCCACTGAGTGGTGTTTCGCTTCAGATAAGAAGCTGTTCACTCTGTTCTTAATATGGGTGTATTCTCTTCAGTAAGTCTGATCTCCATAAAAATGTGTATTCAACCATGTGGTTGTCTCATTTGAATCATGAAGAGACAATTCCCAGGTAGTTAAAATCTAGGCATAAATTAGATTAGTTCTAAAAATAATGTAAGTGCTTCTTATTGTCCTGTTTCTAAAACAAATAGAAGGAAAAAAAAAAGCCCAAACCACAGAGCTCTGTAGTAATCTCTCCTTTCAGTCAGAGATGTTTAAATTTTGCAATGTTCATGCCGGTCATGAACTTGCTATACAGTACATCACCAGATTAATTGCTCTGATCGAATTAAAATGGATTAGAGACTGACATGTGTGCTTTACGTAATGCAAATTGTGATAGGGTCTAGAATATTACGCCTTTAACAAATGGATAGCTACTAAATGCAATGTCAAGATGGTATGGTTGATCTGTCAAAAGACTTTTAGTTCTAGAGAATAGCGTGCGGTGTCAGTAGAGCTGTGACAGAGTAGGAGATGATCCCTGTAACTGCAAACTCTACAAGCTAGAGGATTCAGACTTTGAGTAAACAATTTGCCTGCTCCAAATAAGCAGTATCAGTGGGGAAATGCAGACGGTTACTAGTTACAGCTTCTCTGCTGTGGAGTACAACAGCTTGCCAACTTGAGCCACATTAAGCAGGCAGTGCTCCGTTAGAGTTCGTTACCTAAAAACTTGGCTCTGGTGTGTATTTTCAAACTGCTTATGGCACTTTAACATGGCTAACTCTGTTTTTGTCCAACAGAATTGTTGAGAATGGGCAAGAGAGAGTAGAAGTTGAAGAAGATGGCCAGTTAAGGTCGCTAACAATAAATGGTAAGGAGCAGCTGCTACGCTTGGATAACAAGTAATTCAACGCACGCATTTAACAGAAATTTTAAGCTATAACAGCCACCATTTGAGGATTGACAGGAACATTTTTTGAAGATTTCAAACGAACTCAACTTTCTGTATATCCGTACTTAATCTTAAGTAGTATAAATAGCTCACCGAAGCTCGTATTTGTCATAGACTCTTGAGTTAATTGTTGGGACCACATCAATTGGACCATTTTTTGTTGTCCTTAAAATTGTTGTAAATTTCTGTATGCACTTTTCTTTTTATTATACATGATCAAAGTGAACCATGATCCTTCAGTAGTGCTAGGGCGAGATGTACACTAACACTAGCATGAATCTTTTTCCAATTTGAAATGTGAGCCAATTAGTAGTTTAAGTCTGCTGTGAAGTTAACATTTCCAGGATAACCTTTTTAATAATTTCAACTTTTTTTTTTTTTTAAATGTTTAGTAGTGAACAATGTTAATACATTTCTGGTAATGCATTTCTGGTTTAAATAAATTAAGAATGTTTTCTAGTTGTGCATGAATGCAGGCAACTTAGTAAGTTTTGACAAATGTTTAAATGTGTAATGTAAGCAAAAGGTAAACAAAAGTGAAGCCAGTGAGCTCAGTCTTTTGTCATTTGCTAAAAAAAAAAAAAATAATTCAAAATGAATAAATGCTGATGTTTGTGGTGCATTCTTTCATGAATGGCATTTGTAACCTTCCTGTGTCTGTGTGTGATTTGGGCAACTTGGGAAAACAGTGCTGCCTTTTTTTTTTTTTTTTCCTACCACCTTCTCCTTCAGTCTTAAGGATGAGGGCCTGTTCTTTGCAGATGTTTTCTTCGATTTGACTGAAAACATGATACTTAATTTCTTTTCTAAACCTGTATTTGAAGCACCTATTTGTAAGAAGCATTCAGAAGCCGACTCTCTTAACTCCATCTTTTGCCCTAGTACATATTTTTTTTGTTTAGGCCTAAAGTAATTAGCTCTGTTTAAAAATAGAAAAACTCTAGAAAACTTTTAAGTTCTGAGATTGCTTCAAAAAATAATCTGTAGCGAACATAAATATACAGGAAAATATTTAATAATTAAAAAAGGCTTTCTGAACTGTAAGATTTTTTTTGCTTATTTTGAGAACAAATATAATTGCTTTTAAGAAGATCTGTACAAAATTATTAGCACTAAAACATCTCTTATTTTTAGTCATCAACCAAAAATTAAAAGATCGATTAATGCCTTTTGCTAAATTAATGGAGTGTGAAGCCAACTATTAATATGTAGCTAAGACCAGATTTTCAAAGTTTGGTGAAAGATGACTTGTGGTTTCTCTGTGTCATAGAGAAAGCATGCAAATAACTATTGGCATATGTTGACACCTGCCAGGCTCTGGGTAATTTCATGCATAAATCATGGATGTGCAGTTTTTATCTGTGCACCAGCTTTGAACATCTGGCCTTGCCAGAGTTCTTCAGGGTGGCTTAGTGGTTTAAAAAAAAGAAAAGAAAAAGGAAAAAAAAAAAGCATGGTGTTTTCAAATAATCACTTCATGCCTTCTTGCTGAACACCATCTGCTTTGTACTAACAAATGTGTCGATTATTAAATACTTGGAAGATTTGCTCTTTTTTATCATGCAGGAAAACTAGTTCGACTTAATCCAAACCAACACTCTAACAAACCGCTACAGCAGAATTCGTATTTGCAGCAAAGTTAGTCTATTGTACACTTGTCCCTCTGCCATTAATGCTAATTTCACAGAACCAAACAAAATAACAGGTAGAAGACGAAATAAATACGTACTTTGGTTTTGGGACTATAGTAGTTACATACCTTTTCAAGTTCTTTGCAGAGTTCTCGTTACTTCAGTGTTGTGGTTTTGGTGTAGAAGCACAAACTCAGTTTAGAGCTGAACAATGTTTTCTTGTTAATGTTATTTTCCCTTCCCCATGTATGTTGCTTCTTGATTCAGATAACTAAACAGACATTTTATTTCAAAATCTGGCTTTGTTGTAATGTCTTGAATGTTAATTTATATTTATAGGACATAGTGTGCTCCTTTAAGTTATGTAAACTGTAAACAGTACTTCAAAATTGGTTAACCAAGTCAAATAAAATTAGGACAATCTGGAGTTGAGTTTTAATTCCTTCCCGTGGATACCCGTAGGTTTTACACTGAGCTGCCAGACTTCACTGTTTTAATCCCAGGTGATCTTCTTTAACATTAAAACTACCTAGCCCAAGTGAAGAACACAGGTATACCAGCATCGCTGCTAGTGGCAGATTAGTACCCACACACTTGCCTTAGATCTTCTTATCCAGAAAACCATGGTCCTTCTCGTAGTGTTATATACAAACAGTTCACTCCAAGGTTCTGTAACGAAATATTTTAATGTAAATTTGCCGAAAATCCAGGTTTTTGGACAGTCTCTTATCTGCCTTCAGATCCCTGAGGTTGGTTATTGAAGAGCTGGACAAAATGCAGCATTAAATGCCAGTGCTTCGCTTTCTTGGCAGCACAAAAAACAGACAAGAAAAGATGAGTAAGTTGTCAGAAGGCAGAAATTATCAGTAAATTAATTTCTGCAGTAGTAAGCAGATACGTACACACCAGTGTTTGAACAGGCTGGTGGTTAAACTGGGTGGATGCATGGTCTTGGTTCAAGTACATGTTTGGACTGGCAGTTCCAGATCTAAACAATTGTCACCTTCTTACACTTGACCTAAGCCTAAGTCTCCACGTTTTTTTAATATGTGGAACACAATTTTGGTCTTGGTTGTTCTTTGGTTGTTTTTTCTTTTTTACTTGAAATAACGCTGCGTACAACTTCTTTCTTAATGTAACTTCTTGCATCCAACTTCATTTTCAATACATAAAATTAATCCTTATTCTAAGTTTGAAAAACCACTTACTAGATTGCACTGAAAAAATTTATGTCATTCCTTACTAATAAGTAGTTTGCATGGATGTACAAAACCTACTTGCCAGAAGTAATGAATCCTTAAGGGCAGCAGAATTCCTTAAACTTCAATTTTGGCCAATATAGCACAAAATAATAACAGAAGAGGTTTGTAATTCAAGCAAATGCTAGGCATTGAATGTGCAGTGGGATGAGGTGATGTTCAAAAACTTCTAGATTAAAGGTACCATCTCTTCAGACAGAAGGGATTAATTTACAGTGTTTAGGGACACCATTGTATTTAAATTAAGCTTCCTCCAGAGGTCTGGAAAAAGTTAAGATGGAGTTTTTTGAACCTGCCAAATCACTTACTCTTTCATGCTCTGCTTCAAAGTTCATTGGTAGAACACAATAACTTTGCTGTGCTTTCTCATGGTGCAACTTCTTCTTGGTCTCTCGTGCATGGCATAATTTCAATACACCGTAACACAAGTTTCTCTTTAGATTGCATGGCACCTAGCCCTTTCCTTTGGCTCTGCTGAAGAGGTTTGGGATTTTGCCTTAGAAAGTTTCGTATTTCAAAATCGCTGCACCTCTTGTAGTTGTCGGTTCTTCACAATTCCTTCTCCATTGAGAATGACAGGCACTGGTTTGCGGTACAAGTGACAAAGCTGCTCTGCAGAGTAAGTAGCTTTTGTAAGATGTGTGTTGTATCAACTTGTGATTGCTTGATGGACTGAGTCCTAGAATGCTGAAAATAAGGTTATAAAAGACTTAAACCACATCATCTCTTAAGCCCAAGGGTTTTATCTCTGCCAGATTTGTGTTCAGCCATCCTGTTTACTTGCCTCTGTCAGCGTGTCGGTGTCAGGTGTAAGCGGAGCTGTGCCTTTTGTGCGTTAAGTGTGTTTCTGTGTTTCAGACCATCTCTGGGATGGTCCAGTGGTAAAGTTAGATTTTATTCTTTACTTTTGGAAATCTGAGTTGTGTTCCTGAATTTGCTTCTATTTGAGAAGTTGACCATGTTTCCTACTTGACCGTGTTTCCTACTTCACCTTAGTTGTATCTGTGATTGTAGCAGGGTACTGGTTACCTCTAAGGACTGTTGCATTGTGAAATGTGTGCTAGAGCTGTACGATGCTTGTGGTCAGAGAACTTTTGAAAAATGCTCAGCGTAACGCCATAATTTAGTGTTAGGGTTGTTGTTAGCCTTGTTGTGGAAGCATTTCCTAGTACTTTTGGAAGACCTGTCTCTTCGGTCTTGGTTTTTGAATGTCTTGGTGTTGAACCTTTTTTAAAGTCACAGTGTTCTCACAGTTGCAATAGAGATTTCAGTAATTTGCAGTAAACCCGAGCTTCGGAAAAAATTTTAACATAAGGAAGCATGTTTCCATTGCCTGCTCCCTCTGGTCTTGTTTACTTTGAGACTGAATCGTGACCACAGACTTGTTTTGTGTAGTACTCAACGTAGACAGTTTGGGTTTCCTTGTTACTGCTTGAAGTCAAGTGATTGTCTTAAGTAAAAAGCTTTTTATATTCCACCTGAAATGCAGAAATGGTCATTATGTTGCAATAGTTTCAGAATTACGCGTATTTCCTTCGCTAGTGTTACAAACTATACCTTCTGAATTTATAATTTCAGTTTACTGCTTGATCTGCCTTGGTTTTGGAAAAAATACCTCGAGTAGAGCTGGTTGAGTGAAGTACACTTCTGAAAAATGATAGCTGAAGACGTTTATAGTTGATTTATAGTCTGCCACATCGCTCATGCATTTACAAAACAGTAAGCCTCACATTCAAGATGCTGCTGTCAGATTAAAAAAAAAAAAGTAAAATAAATTAAAATGCTGCGATCATCTGAGCCATAACCCCGAATCTATGCAAGCTGACTGCTGATTCCAACTTACTGAAACTTCTCTGAAAACTATGTTCTGGCAGACATAGCTCTGGCTTAGGTGTTATCTCACAAGAGCTGATAGAAAGTTAATTGAAACCTCACCTGAGCCCAGCATCCCCTGCCGTGCTGAAATACAGGCAGTAGTTTAGATGTGCTGCTTGCCCACTTCTGAAAGCCTTGAAGCCCTGATATGAGG